CCACGGCACTCTAGCCCCGGCCACAGAGCGAGACTCTGTCTCAAAAAACAAAAAGATAACGAAGGTGTAAATGCCTGGTCCCCAACAGACCGTCAAGAACGGCAGGGTGGGCGGCGTCTGCGTGGCTGGCTGCCCTCGCGCCCTCGTGCCCCGTACTTGGGACGGGACGGTAAGTAGCTGTGCTCGGTGCAGAGTTTCACGTCCGTGTGTCCTCCGCCTTCTGCAGGACAAAGTGGCCGCGGAGAGCCTGCCCCTGCTGGGCTTCACCATCGCGCCGGAGAGGGAGGCGGGCGGCGGCGGAGCAGGCCTGACCTTCCACCTTTACCACAAGAAAACCCTGTTCTACAGCTTCAAGGCGGAGGACGCCCGTTCGGCTCAGAGGTACCGAGTGGCCTGCGCTGTGTGTCCCTCGTCCCCTCTGTCAGAGGGAAGCACGTCCCGGTCCCAGGGCTTTGCCTCTGTCCTGCTCCTCCCGCCCTGTCCCCTCGGGTCCCCTTGGGCCACAGCAGAACCGCGGGCCGGCCTCTTCCCGGGGGCGAGGGTTTCTAGACCGTTGGGAGCCGTCCACACGGGCGTGGACCGATTCGGTAAACTTTTGCACGGCGTTCCAGGCCTTTTGCTAAACCTGGAAAACGTGTTTGGAAAAAAAAAGCACGAACACGACGCGGTCTTTGACTTCAAGCTGAGAGCAACCTGGTCCGGTGCCTTCTGGAAGTTCTGTGACCGAGTGTCACAGGCTGAGCCGTGTCACCGAGCATCCTCCCCCTCCCCCTCTGTTCTGCAGGTGGATGGAGGCCATGGAGGAGGCCAGCGTGCTATAGCAGTCACCAAGCACGCGGACTCGGGACAGACTCTCGGGTTGGCGCGTGGACCCTTCTAGAAGCCGATCCGTGGCTCGGCTCGCCCGGACGCAGGCCTGGGCTCAGCGTGGGGCCCGATCGCTGTTGCCGCGACCCCCACACGAACGCGCGAGGGATATTTATGGACGTCTCTTCCTCCGTCTGAGTGTCCCCCACCCGCCCCTTCCTACGCTGGTCCCCTCCCCTGCCGTGAGTGACAGCTGAGTGACGGGAAGGTCTGGCAACCTTTGGGGACACGGGCTCTTGGTAGCAACGGGCTTCTACGGATTCTACGCAGCGAACCTTACCGTCCTCCGTAAAGCTGGCCGTCGGGCCTCAGGGGACGCGAGAAGCAGCGAGTCACAGCTCCCCTCCCCGAAGGCCCTTGGTGGTTTTCTGAGCTGCGACCTCCAGGCTTGTGTTTCCCAAGTGATCTGTGTGAGTCAGCAACAGGCAGAATCTTCTGGACGGGTCGGCCAGCAGGTGGTCCGACGAGGTGCGCGTGAAGCTGGCCTGTGCGGGCCTGGCCGGCGTGGAAGCCACAGCCCCGCGGTGGCGCAGGGACAGAGATCTCGTCCTCCGCTTGCTCGTGCGACTGACTCCGGGAGGGGACTCCCTCCTTCCTGCGGTCCCCGCCAGGCCCTGCTCCAGCGCTCGGGGAACGCGGCAGCTGCTGGCAGATCTGTCCCTACCCGGGGGTCATCGCGGCCCCTCTGAAGGGCCGGGGTCTGCTGTAGCTCACCGTGCCCGCCTCTGCTTAGCCCGCTGGCGCCGACAGTGGTGTTTGCTGGGACTTAATCCGTGTGTCAGACACGCAGCTGCCCTTGGGCTGCGTTACTGGAGCCTGTTTATTTTTTGAAAGAGGTTAAAAAACAAAAACAGCAAGATGCCCTGGGACGGTGAATCTGTGGCCTTGGCAGGTGGCTCTGGACACGGGGAGGGGGCAGGAGTGGGTTGAAGACACCATCTGGGCACGTGGGGGCCACGCCACCTCCCGCCGACGGCCCTTTAGCTGCACGGTTTTCTACAGAAAGCAGAGGGGACCGGGAGGGGCGATTCCTTGTCACTGTCCCCACAATAAAAAACAAGCGTCGTTGTCCGATGTCCTGTCCCCGCTCTCCTGCCCCCTGA